TATGAGAAAAATAATTTATCAAGATTGATCTTTTTAATATTAATTTTCTAATGATGTCTGCTCTCTTTAGATTAATGTGCATCATATATTTATCGTCCTTCTCAGCAATATTATTTGTTTAGGTAGACTTTATGTGTAAAGGTAAAAAAATACGAAATATTTTTCTTATTGGTCGTTCTTTTCTGGATGCAAAAAAAATGCAATTATGACAAGATTTTGTGTGTATAGATAAGAAGAATGAGAAAAATCAGAACGAATATTTTCTCATTCTGTCACCAATATACACGAATAAAATGTTTTTTTTTATCACCAAACGTTTTAAATATTAAATGATGAGCAAAATACAATAGTTTCAGTCACTACACATTTTTAATACAAATAATCACCTAAAAAAAGACACTTTTAATCAACAGATTTTTATACAAATATGTTGTTTCATCGTCTTATACTCAAATATCATCTTCAACTTGATTAGTTATCTATATTTCTCGTCGTTAGATACATTTAATGATATTTTCATGTGATTACAATCTTGCTGATAGATTATCTCATTAGAATGATGTTCTTCTTCGGTTGGACTGAAAATCTACTCTCGTAAATATTCAGTTCGTTTATTATGACACGTCTTGAATTATTAGATACACAAAAAAAAAGAAAAGAACATCCCAAGAAATTTATTATCTGTTTATCATTTCAATCATCATTTTTTTTCGGAGAAATAAATATATTAGATGGTTATGAAAAATCTGGGGACCAAAAATATCTTTTTTGAATGACTATTTCTATCTAAACTATACTTCTATTAGTCATTATTTGTATTCTAAATTGTGTGATGATCAGAATAATTGTCACACGATGTAACTGTTCTTCTTCAATGTACTTTGATGTTTTCGTCATAAAATAAGAAGAAAAACAAATGAAGAGATTCTCTTGTTGATGTTTAAGTAGAACTGATTAATAATTCACTTGATCAATCTTTTCTCAATCTAATATTTCATTTTTCTAATAAATTCTTTTTCAAATGGAAAAAAATATTGGAGAAAAATTTTTCTTTAAATTTATTTTTCGATGTTCAAAACGAAAGAAATTATACTTTGAAATAAAAATCAAGTTTGAAACAAGTCAAATACATTATCAGAAACCTAAAATATTTTTAGCCGACATGTCGTTTCGATTTTGTTTTTTCGTATAACGTTAATTACGTAGGCAAAAAAAAGTAATTTTTATATACGATTGAAGCGAAAGCAATGAAAATAGGTGATTAGTTCGTTTCGTACTCATCTGTACTATAAATAATTGTAACTCGCAGTATTTACTCTTCAGTCTTAATATCATTGATAAAATATTTTTCTAATGAAAACAACTCTTTATTGGACAATTCAAAGAAAAATGTAAGTTAAATAAACATTTTCTCATTTGATGCATAGAAAAATAAGATAAATCTCTATTAAATTCGTTATTAATGATATCAAAGAGATTTGTTTTGATAAAAAGAAATGTTTTCTTTTTGAGAATTATTCAACAATTTTAGTTTAAAGAGATACTGAATAACTCTTTCTTAAATAAAATCTACATTAGAAAAATTTATCGAAAATTCGACTTTAACATTTTTTTATAGACAGATGAAAAGACTCTTTTTCCATTAAAAAACCGCAATACAACATCTTCTGTCAATTGCGATTTTTTTAAATAAATAGTTTTTTCTAGAAAAACGAAAAAGATATTTGTTTTACAGTATTACAGAGCTTTCTCTTTGCAAAAATATCCCAGTCCACAAAAATTCATTTCAAAGAAAAAAAAGATGTCTTTTATATTATACAAACGGTAACTCAGAGAGAAAAAAACAAAGACACGAAGACCGATAATATGTATATATTCTCTCTTTGTATGAAGGTAGCTTTAGGCAAAGAAGACGCGACACGAACGCGTGCGACGTTTGTATATAAAGTAAAATTTTTTTCGTTCTGTTTTCATCTAATTAGACTACTCATATGTATTAACAAAAATAAAAATGTTCTGTTAGCGAGATTGAATTATTAAAAAACTACAAAAAAAATACTAATCAGAATCAAAAGATTATATAGTTTTAACATCAAACTTGCTTTTTGCATCTTATGAGATTAATACTGGACAGAATAAATCAGATAAAAGTATAAAGAGAATGCATACCTATATATATGTGTGTATTATTTTAATAATTTCTAAGAAATAAATATGTCTGTTATAAAATCAGTCGAAGGCAAAGGCTAACACACAAAATATGAAAAAATTGATTTTCGAATACGAAACAGTGTCAAAGAATTACATGCTGTTTCAGGCAGCGACTATTTTGAAAAGTCAGATCAGTTTTTAATTTCTGAATGACTACGCTCTTTATGCTCAATTAATGTTTTTTGTAAATAAATACTATTTATCTATGTTAATAATTCATATGAATATATTTTTGAAATTGAGAACTATTTTTCTCATATGATGGGGAATTTGCATTTGCGACAAAACCGCTCTGAATGATGAATTCTAAGGGTTTACGAAAGCTTTTTTTGTTATAAATTTTTTTTTACCAAAAAATAATAAGAAATAACTAGTACCAGGATAGAGTGGACATAGCACTGAGTGAGGAGTGTCACAAAATACTGATCATTGAGTAGTAAGCTAAAACTAATTTTTTTACGGATTTTTTACAAAACTGTTAATATTTTGTAAAAAAAAAGTAGTCTATTATCTTTTCCTCGATTTGCACGAAACTGTCTATACACGAAATCTTCGAGCGCATAAATGTTAATCAATCCAAAGAAGATCGCATCATCTTCTTTGATGATTACGTAATAAAAGAAAGAGAAAACGAATATAAAACTTCATTAATTCTTATGAACAGATAGAGAACGAAAAAAAAGATTGACCTTGATACATATATCCACAGAAAAAAAAGAAAGAAGAACAGAAAAAATGTGCACATAAAGGTGATGAAAAGAAAATATACATATGACCGCTTAACGAGAGAAAGAGAGAGAAGGACAAAGATATTACATTGTTTTCTAACATACAAGATTTAAGAGAAGTTAATGATCAAAACTTTTCTCGTTTCTCTTTACTATTTCATTGAAGTTTGTCAAGAAATTTGCTGGAAAACTCTTGATGATTATACTAAATTTGAATATCTTTGAACGATCTCTAATGAATTGCCAGTTTAAGTGGATTGAAATAGAACAATTCCTCTTTTTTTAGAAAATGCAATTAATTCGAAATTTTTATTAAGGTTTTTTCTTATATTCAGATAGAACTTACCGAATTGTACACAAATATCTATTCGAACAAAGTTTATAGAAAACTACACGAAGAGATTGAAATAGTTATAGGAAACAAAACGATACATGAACTTACACTAATATATCCCTAATCTCCATCTGCGCTCATAGTTTTTCATAATCATATCGAAGATCCTTTGGATTTGTCTAAAGTTAGAATTTTTCTTTAGAATTTCAAGATTGTTAAACTTAAATAAATTAAGAAAAATAGATAAAAAGATCTTCCTGAATACCCTCGTTAATGAAATTAAGTCTATTACAGTTGTTAATTCATAACAGTTTTCTGTTGCTTTTTATTCCTTAGAGATCATAGTGGAATCTCTGGAATGTTATTCTACCGAATATTTCGACTTGTCCACGAAATGCGACTCTTCGCCGATTAAGTTTTGAAAAAAAATGTTCTGAGGCATTCAATTCGATACAGAATTCCATTCTCTACAAAATAGATTTTTTTATTTTGAGTTTGATATTTTGAAACACCTCATGGACTGTTATATAGTTTCTTACTTACGGTTCAGTTTTTAAGCTTCCATGTTGAGGAATCAATCTGATTCTTTCGTAGAATGCTTAGCTACACAGAATACATTAACTCTCATAACTATGTCAAATATCTGTAAAATAGCGGATAAAAAAACTATGTCTTACTATTACGTTTGGACAAAACGATTTCTCGTCATTATATTCCTATGAAATTCGAGTTAGATTTAAATAATTTTCTCATTTTCAATCAAGATGAGTTATTTAACATATTGAAAAATCGAATCGATTTTAATAATATTATTTTGAAATGAAAAATAATCGAAGCAAATACATTTTATTTTCTCAAGTTCTCGATCTAAAAATATAAGGGGAGTTACATTCTATTCCAATATCTCATCGTATCAATCAATAAATTATAATAATAAAAACAAAGAATTATTTTGGAAAGAATTTAAACAATAAACAAAAGTTGACCATTTATATCTACAAATTCGAATGCAAACTGTAAAATATTATATTAATTGTTGATATGATAGATTTGTTTGTATAGTTTTTTGTAATTAGTTTACTAATGTCACATGTTGAGAAATTCTCAATAGAAAGACTAAAACAGTTGTTTGACTTGATATCTAATCGAGAGTGTTACAATCTCAAAGAAATTTCTTTTCTTTTTAGATAAAAACCTTTCTCTAATCAAAAAAAGGTTATGGAAGGCGTACAACCAACTGCAACCAAACATCACCAACTGTCTTCAACATTGGTTGTGTCACCTGTACAGAATTGCTCTCTAATTCAAGATGAAGAAGATAATTCTGAAGGACAAATCCATTCTCACAGGTTAGTTTCAAATCCTCATTAAAAATGATCTTAATCTAGACAAGGAAAGTGAGAGATTTGTGAAATTATTTTGAAATAGAATGATATTTTTTCGAAAGAATTATTTCTCATCCGAAAAATTAATTGAACAGATAGAATATTTCTTTCTTTGAAAATATTTTATAGAATTCTTCAAAATTGGCTTCTTGGCAATTAGAAGGGAGAACTGATTAACACAGTCAAAAATAAATATTTAAATCATTTTCAATACCCTTCTCAAAACAAACAGATAAGAAGGAGAAAAACAAAACTAATCGTAAGACATTACCGCTCTCTTTCGTTCTGTCATTGATACACATGAGTTATTGAAGTGAATCCGTATTTATGTGCAATAGAAAGAAAGAAAACGTGAGCGAATATTTTTCTCTCGTATATATAACGAACATCAATGACAGAACGAACAAAATCACTCGTGAGTCATTAAGATTTTTTTATTTCGAAATATTTGACTCATTCTCATGGACATTTTGATAAAATAAAATAAATCAAGTGTTATTCTTCTAATATATATATAAAAAATAATTGGTTAGATTTTTTTGTAATCAGATTTAAGTTTTTTAATATTTATCTATGAGCATATGAATACACTTTGCCAATCTCTGTAAATTTTATTTGAATATTATCTTCTCCAATTAAACATATTTCATTATATGTTAAATATCTCTTAAACTTCTTTGTTTTTTCTACACAATTTTTTTCAATGTTACAGTTCGATACGTTTGACAAAAACCTGAGTCAGAGAAAATATGTTAAAGAAATTGATCCAAATATGAAAATAGATTTAGTTTATTATCGTAGAACGCTGATTTGTTCACGATAAGATTAGAGAAAAAAAATGATGATATATCTGAGAAAGAATTGAACATGTATTAAAATATCTTGTTCTTCATATCTTGAATAGTTGTGCATATAGATAAACATCATTGAAAATATTTATTCAAAAGTTTTTCGTTAATGAGTTCATCGGCTGTTTTGTTTATACGATAATCGACCTATGTATAAGAAAGAAATTCTTTACAATATTATCTGTAATAAATCAATTGCTTTGTATTGTGTATAACATTGAAATAAAGATTTTTATTCATCACTGTAGGAACAATAAATTGCACAATACAACTAATGAAGATTCCTTCTTAACAACACTGGCCGAAGCAGAGTTTGACAAATATTTAACTGAACTTTCACAAATATTTGAAGAACAATCTTCTCAAACTGATATATTAATGGAAATTTCAAGCATGTTTAGCGATATTGAGACAGATAATGAACAGTTTTGCTCAGTTGAAGATCTCATCAACACAGGCGATCAAATATCATCAGCGATTTCGTCGACATTAACCCAAAATGAAGAACTAACTAATAGTGTCAACGAATATCAAGAAGGATCATTGGTAAGTTATTATGTCTGTCGTCGTTTCAGAAACATAATGAGTTAGAAAAGATACTATTTTTGTAAAATTTCTTGTCAATAATTACAAATTTTAAACGAATATGTTCATCGAGGAGATATAGATTTATATAGATGTAATATACGAGTAGCTCAGCACCATCACAGACAAATATTTTCAAGTTGAAAGCTCTTCAAATTCATATTATTTATATAGAAATTCAACGTTTTACGTTGATGAAAATGTCAAGTTTCTGTAAAGAGACGAGGAATCATCGATAAGAACAATGTTGTTTAATATTTCGTTCGTATGTAATTTTTCATTGACAAGTTTTTAGCAGGAAAAATCACTTATTTTGTTTCTTTGCATAATTATCATAAATTCTGTTCAATGAGATTTGTCTGGTAAAACAATGTCTTCAACTCTATTTAGATGACTACACCACGAATTACAACAGACACAATAACAACAGAAATTTCCATAAAGAACAATCTGAAGAATAGAAAAGCAGACCTAATCAAAAATGGTGAGAAAACCCTTATTGTATCAGGATTACGTAATGATATAAATCAAACTGATCTATTTAATTATTTTGCCGGATCTATTCAAGTCATACTAAAACAATGTCAAACATCGCCTTTCAAGTAATTTTCTATCCACAATAATATTTTTATGTATCAGTATCTTTTCTTTAGATATGCTTTCATTTTACATGGAACAATTGAAGAAGCAAAATGTAATCTTTCCCGATCAATTGATTATATTCGTCTTGGTTCGAAATGCCGCATCAAATCTGTAGATTATTCTTCGTCTCTTCCTGTTGATGATCAATCATATGATAAACAAACAATTGCAGTGACGAAGATACCAGAGAATGTTAGTGAAGATGATTTGCATCGTTTATTCCCCAGCTGTCGTATATCGAAGTATTGTCCACCACGGACTGTTCGTCGTAAAACTGTCTCCACTGAAAGTTCCGGCAAAACCAAGACTTTATGGGGGTAAGAGTTACACTCTAATTTCACTTTTTTATCATATTATCATTTCATTTTCTATTTCGAAATATAAAAGACAAACAGTTTACTCATCCTCTGCAAAACGAAGTTTCTCCTTATTATTCGTATCTTTTACATTTAAAAAGTTCTAAACTTTTATCAATAATAATACCTAATTTGACTTGCTTTCTAAAATGTCTTATACATTACAAATAGATAGGAAATCGAGTTCGATTAGTATATAATAGTGACGATAGAATAGAATGCAATTCTATTTAACAAAATTCACTATTATCAAAGAGCAATAATTGCATCATATGAAAAAAAGATTAAAATCATCGAGTAGAAATGAGTATTTCTTATAAGTTCGAATTAAAATCCATTCATAAGAATTATCAATAGTATTTAATATAAATCAACTTTTGAGATTCGTCTCACGCAGACTGTGAGCAAACATTAAATCAAAGACTTTTGTAGACTGATTTGAGATCCCAGGTCAAACATGTACAGTCGTAAACGACCGTCCACGGAAATAAACGATAATAAACGTTGATCGTAACGAACGTCCGTGTACGAAGCCCATATACGGAACAGTACGATAAAAAACGCATTTCGTATACGGCAGTCGTTAAAAAAAACGGCCGTTTGAACAAAAGTTATTTTATACTCCGTTTACGACGAATAACGAAAAATGTATACGATCGTATTTTACATGATACGGTCGTTTATGATCGTGTTAGAAAATACTTATTAGACACAATATTTCATCTAATTTTATATTTTTAAAATTATATTATGATTCAATAATTATCGTTCAATTATTCTGTAGTAATATTTATATAAGTTCATATATGTAATTGATAACAATTACGAACAGAAAAGAGCATATTATTCCATTGTTATTTCTTCTATAGACATTACAATAGATTATTTGAAGAATTGCAGATAGAAATAAAGGATTATATATAGATTCTATGTATGTTTCTTTCTACTATGGCGTACAGAAGCGAATTATAGAAGATGTTATAGTACGAAATTCAAGTTAAAGAACGAATATGTAAAATCTTTCTCTTTTGCGTTCTCCGTCAGTTTAGTGTAAGATATATCATACCGAAGAGTAAGAAAAGGAAAAAATAGAGCTATATATATGTGGTGCTTTGCTTATTTCGTTTATTACATAAATTTTCATTTTCAGATTAACACTAGAAGTTTATCACTCGATCTCTCTCGGAAAGTGATGAATAAATATTATTTTTATTTTCAGATGATTTTATGAAGAATATGTGATGAATAACAATGTATTTGAATCTATATTATTATCCAAGCAACTTCAACAAAAAAAATTATTGAAGCAAAATCGTAAGCGTCGTGCTTTAATCAGTACTCGCCGTATTCGTCTTGATACAACATACACTAATGTGTCTAGTACTTCGTCAAATATATTAGATGAATTTACTGAAAGCAATTTTACACCATCAAACATTTATCAACATATATTAACTAGTGATATTGATAACGGTCGACATGATAAATCAAATGAATTAAACAATCATCCAATAGTACATGATAGTTTAAGTGAATTAAATAATATATCAATTACAGATGATGATGACAATGATTCTTATATTGAAGCATATGACTCCAACGATTCAGATGAATTTAATGTATTAAATGATGAGAAATATCTATATGAAAATTTTGATTATAATTTAAATTCATGCTTTACTTTATTGAATCAAAATCTTCACAACTGGACAAATATATCAACTCAAGAATTTTGTGCAAAATTACTTCGTTTGCTACGCGACGCCAAAATATGTAAATCTCAAACAGATAAATTAATTCAATTGATATATTCTGGTTTACCTACTCCAAATAACATGCCAAAATCAATGAAACAAATTTTAGCTAAAATGCAAGGTAAAATTCATATAAAAATTAATTAATTCATCAGAGTGAATATCTAAGTTTTTTCGTTTATACGAAATTGTATGTAGCTAGAGCGCTTTTTTAAATTAAATGAATAAACACATATTGTTTAAGCTGAAAATTTGAACAGATATAATTTTTCTGACAAACAACAGAGGATCAAATTTTGACTGATAGACAGAATAATATCATTAAGTATCATCGAAAAAAAATCATGAAAATATCTCTGCATGAACTAAAACCCTTCTCACTACTTTAAATTAAATTATTTTTAGCGACGTCGAAAAAACTTTTCTATTTGATAATAATTTTTTTTAGTTCAAGAATTGTTTTCAAAATCAGAAGTTTGTGCAGCATGTTACATGAATATTAATGATCATCATGGCAAAATATGTTCAACTACAGGATTGAAAAATATAAATATTTTTGATACTCATGTTAAAACAGCTTTCTTATTTCTGTTAAATCGTTTATGGTCAACAATTAAAGAATACAAGCAGCAAATCAGTTTAAACACAAATAACAACTACAACGATATTCCATTTAATATATTATATCGTAAAATGGTGAAAAATATGAAAGATAAAGAATTTATTAGCATCATGTTACATGTTGATGGCATATCCATCTGTAAATCAAAGAAAATGAAATTATGGTTATTAAGTGGTGTCATCATTGAATTACCTCCACATTTAAGGTACAGAAGATGCAACATGATTTTATTATCAATATATATTGGTACTAATGAACCAAAACCAAAACCATGGCTAAAGTCTTGCTTTTTTCAACTACATCAAATTAAGAATGAAGGTAAGATTTTTCATTTTCACTTCTCATAATGGGTATCGCAAGATAAATACTTTCTTGTTAAAATAATAATTCATAAAAAACGAAGACTATTTTGAACAACTACTATAATACGTAACATATACAACTCTGTATGTGTATGTCGGCTACAATTGAAGATAAGAGTTTACTTTCAAGAGTGAGCTTATTAATTATAATTTGCTCACCGTTAAATTTTTATAAATCTTTCTTAATGTAGTCTTAAAAATGCGTTTTAAAAAAGAATCAAGTTTTCGATAAAAATCATGCCTGTTTGTTAATAGTTTTTTTTTAAAGTTTTGATCTATATATAATAAAATAATCTTATTTTTCTTATAGGTGTCGTGTTGTCGAATGGGATTCGTTGTAGAGTGCTTTTTTATTCAATTATTGGTGATTGTCCAGCGTTGAAAATGATTTTGGAATTTATTGCTCATAATGGATACTTTTGTTGTTTTTACTGTTATATTCACGGTATTCATGTGGGTGGTGCTGGTGGAAAGAGACAATATTTCTATGAAGATGGAATCCAACTTCGAGATCCAACCACTTATGCTTTAGAATCAATAAAAGCTGCTGAAACTTCAAAGAACGTGTATGGTCATTTAGGTCGATCAATCCTCCATGATTTATTGGATGTACCTTTACCATATTCGATTATTTCCGATTATTTACATTGTACTTTGCTGCGACATACGCGAGTTATTGTAAAACAAATTTATAAAAGTTTATCACCTCAACAAAGAAGTCGTTTTGATGATCAATTACGTACACAAAAATTCCCCCATACTTTCAACCGAAAATTACGTCCTGTTAGTGATTTTGCATTCATTAAGTAAGTTAATTTTTTTAAATAAATTAATATACTGATACATATTAACTTGAATTAGAAATTGACAAGAATTGTATTTTATTTTAGGGGTACAGAGTTAAAAAATTTGCTCTTATATGGTCTACTTCCAAATCTTTTACCATATCTTTATGAAGAACGATTAGGTCATATTGCATTGTTTGTTTGTTTTATCAGGGTAAGTTGAGTCTTTGTATAGACGAAGTAAATTTTATTTAATATAGCTTTTACATGGAAAAAAAATATTCGGTGAACATACAAGTGCAAAAGCAAAAGAACTTTTTATAAAATACTATGAAAATCATGGACAATTCTTCGACAATGTACAGGATTTTACTCTACATGTTCATTTACATTTTGATCGATTATTTGATCAACATGGAAGCTTATGTCATCTTGCAACATTTGGTCAAGAAGATTTTATTGGTTCAGTTAGTAAGAATTTTCATGGAACTCGTTTTCATGGTGAACTTATCACGTATTACTACGAAGTAAATAATTGATTGTATATATTTTCTTTCTCTAAATTTTCAATATCTCTTTGCAGATCGATTTTGCCTTACGAAATATAATACAGATAAATGATCCATCTACTTCACATGGTCCTGATGGACCCTTTGATCAAGCAGAATTAACATTAGCTTTATTTAATGATATAAATCAGCATCATCTTATGGTCTGCAGTTGTAATAAGCCATACCAATGTATACAAATATTTCGTCGATGTATGGTTGATAAAAAAATATATCATTCACTGATCTATTCCCGTCGAAAATCATCAGTAAGTTATTTCGTTCAATATCGTCAAAATCAATATGATAACTGTTTCGGAAAGATAAAATTTTTCTTTACTATTAACAATGAAAATTATGCTGTTATTGAAAATCATGAGGTAAAAACGAAATTCAGCCAATTTTTTAAATCATCTTCTTATTATAATTTATTGGCAAAAACAATTGATTATTTCTTCTTTGTTCTGTGTACATCTGTATCATCAATACAATGTGTATCTTTATCGTCAATTGAAAATTATTGTATTGTTTTCGAAAATATTCATCATTTTATTGTAACTCCATTATCTATTGACTATGAACATGACTAATGAAAAATTGATTTTTTTTCTTTTCATTAATTCATATGACATAATTACATTGAAATATTTGTTTCTTTTTTCAGATTCAAATTATTTATCATGATGGCAACCATATTAAAACATTTATTTCTTCTTTTTAGATTCAAATTATTTATCATGATGGTAACCATATTAAAATATTTATTTATTTTTTTTTAGATTTAAATTAATTATCATGATGGCAACCATATCGAAATATTTATTTATTTTTTTTAGATTGAAATTATTTATCATGATGGTAACTACATGTGATACTGTTCGAGAAAAACGTGTAAAAAATCCACGAAAAATTTTTTCTCCATCTGGATCTTCTCAACCATTACCAAGCAATTATTTGATTTTTATATCAGACACAGAGTCTTATTCTATCGTAGGTCGGAGTAGTATTAAGAAAATTAATGGAAAAAAAGCTACATTAGTCCTTAATAAAAAAACTTTTACTGGAGAAATTATATGTTCTGGTAAGTATTCATTTTAATATACTTCATGAATCTAAATATTTCGATATTTTTTGCAAAGGTACATTTACTCAATGTCAAGAAAAAATGAATGAAGTTCAACAAGCATCACAACCATTTGCAAACGGTAAGTTGAGTTACTCATATTATTACCCTTCTGAAATATCTATGTATATATATTTTTTTTCTTTCATAGATGAAACAGCGAGTGATAGTGAAGTTGATGAAGACGATTTTGATCATCATGATAAAAATGAAAATGAATTTACTATTGAAATAAGTGAAGATTATAATGAAAATGAAGAAGAATCATTTAATCGATTTGGTAAGTATAAAATTAAGATCTTAATTTAAGTTAGAAATACGTTTGCTGAGATAGAATTATATACTCGAAATTCATTAGATATTTTTATAACAATAAATTTTAATTTTATATCGAAAAATACATACATAATTTCATACAAGCAGTTTGTCAAGAATTAAAAGATACTAATTGTCGAAAAATGACATTGGCGCAATCATTAAATTCATTACTGATTTTTTCGAAGGTATACTCTTAAATAAAAGGCTAATTAACATAGTTTGAATCAGAAGTTCTTGTGAGCTCGAACATAAATAAATATACTTTAGTATATACATCGATAATTAAATTTTCATGTTAAAAAGTACGATAATTTGTATTGTTATATCTGTGTTTCACTTAATGCTTTCTTGACATACATATCCTTAATAGAAAATTTATTAAAATATTTTATTTTATATTAATAGATAAATCCAGAAACGAATTGTTACGTGAAGAATCTCGTGGTAAAAAACGACAATCTACACATTCTCATTCAACAAATGACGGACCTCGACAAAAAAAACAAAAACCACAAGAATATTCAACCGAACGTATGTACCTTTTTTAATTATTTTTTAAATGTTTTTTTTAATTTGACCACATTTTTCTTTTTCATAAATATAAAATTTTATCAATATACGTTTACTTTTGTGTAAAATAGGTGATCAAGAATTAAATGATGAACCTATGGTACAATCATCAATCACAATTGACCAACAAGGGCGTTTAAGTGATGGTTAGATATTATATATTTAATTATTATAATAATAATCGTTCTTTTGAATATTGCAGGAAAATCATTAAAATTAATCGAAAATAAAATAAATGATCTCAATAAAAGCTTGGTCAAAATGAGTAATGCACTTCGTCAGATGGCATCAACGACACGAGCTGTAAGTACTTGTTAATTACATAGATTAAAAAAACTTTTATTTTAGGGATCACAAAATCTTGATCATTATCGTGATGCAAATAATCAAGAGATATTTCCAGTTACTGTGGTAAAACAACGATAAAAGTCTTTTTTATTTTTATAAATGTTCGTCTATTATTTTATTTTCAGGAATATTGTGGTCGAAATCTGCTTGATACTATTGGAACAGATTTTGGTGATTATGCACGACAACTTATGCGTGTGTTATATACAAAAGATGAACTTCAATCATGTATTCTTCCACCAGGCCGACAACATCTTGCTCGACCACCACTTGATGCTGAACGTTTTGCTCGATTAAATGGTTTGTCGAAAGTTTTTTTTTGTAACATAAGTTTCCTTTTTTTTCTAGAAGCTGTTCGTGTGAAATATCGACTAGCATCTCATTTCTATGGTGACTTTTTCAAATATCATTTAGGACCAAAACTCAGTGATTTTCTAATTGAAGAACGCCGTCGTGATGAACAGAAAAATCTTCGAAGACAAGCAAAATTACCTTCTGTTGATTTGGAACTTCAGCAGTTGATCGATTAAACAAAAGATAATCTTCCATATGTAGGACAATACTATTTTTCAACGTTTTTTATATTATTTGTTATGTACGATCAAATATCTTGACTTTTTTTTGTATTATTTGATCTATATGTGTGATCAACTGTTTTTTAATTTTAATTTTCTATTACTTGTATTTATTCAGAAAATATTTTTCTATTGGCGAAAACCATGTATGTGTGAAATTGTTTTTTTTTATATATGTTAACATTTACTTGGATGAATAAAGTTTGAACAACATGAATAAATGATCTTATTAATTGTCTTATTAATTGAAAGAACAACAGATACTTGAAAACGAATAGAGACGATTGTAAACGATCATATACGATCGTAAACGATCATATACGACGATGAATACGATCGTTTACTAGAACATACTCTCGTATACGACGTCCGTATTTTTCTGCATTTATCCGTATACGGCCACGGAAATATACGGTCGTAATACGGCCTCAGGTAATACGGAGCAATACGGTCGTATACGGACCGTATATGGGATGTATACGATCGTATACGGTATCGTATCCGACAGTATACGACCGTTTACGAACATCGTAATGGTCGACCTGGGTATAGTTCATTTGATTTGAATCGATTATATATTTTATTCGATTTAATTCGGAAGAAACGAAAATAATTGACAATGTTTCTGAGCATCTTTTTTTTAGAACATACTAACATCAATCAATATCGATAAGCTCATTTGAGAAGATTATTGTATCGTCTTTCATATATAGTTTGTGTTTAGTCTATCTAATAAATAATTGAAAAAAAACCATTTAAGAATAATACATCAAATTGAAGTGAATACTTTGCGGATCAATGAAAATACTTTAGAGAAATTATCTCAATTATTACTTATTTCTTTCAATTTTAGATATGCGTTTCTTGTTTATAACAGTGCTCAACAAGCTGCAAATGTTATCGAAAATGCTCAGCAATACAAGATCAATGGTCGAACATTAGTTGTTGCTTTTATTTCTGAGAAAAATCGATCTCGTTCCTTTACAACATGATTCATTGTTTAGCAATTTTTTTATTATTTTGAATAAATAACTGTCTGTTGTCATTGCACATTTCACAAAAAAGAAGATGTTTAAGTATCTAACTCATCTTTAGATATATATGAGAGAGAGTATGGTTGTGGGTGTTGATAGAGATACGAGACAGTCTCATCCCACATCTACATCGAAGTACATAGGGATATATGAGAGAAACATTTTTTCGATTAGTCGAAGAGGGAAACAGAATATTAGAAAAATCACCTCAGTAAAAACAGAATATATGATGTATTTTTATTTCAACAGGTGAATTTGATGCACAAGAGCCTTCTTTACAATTCTAAGAAAATCATAGATTTCTACTATGTAGGTGAGAACGAGACAGATTTGATACAGCCACACCCTGAAAAGTGGTTATAGGCAATATTCAAATCCATTTCAGTCGAGCATCAAGCGAGCCGTGGTGGTGAACGTTATTTGTATTTACCAAAATGATAGCATTTTAGGATTGAAATACGATGATCATATAAAGTATGATTTCATAACTGTTCAAGACTCTAATTCAATTATACAAGGAAGGTTGAATTGATAATTATTTTACTATCGTTTGTACATGGTTCAACTGTATTTATGGTAGACATTCATAACTGAAAATTGTGTTTTTTAAAACGACAAAAGTTCGATGGTTTTCACAATGAATAAAGTGTTACGCTTGATAATACAAATTCGCTATAAAAATAAAATAACTTGATTGTTTAAGCGAAAGAAGAAATTGAAACAGAAACAAAGAGTTTATGTATAAATTGATTTATTTAGTCAATATAGTGCAGCGTTACATTTCTTTTCTCGAATTATGAAAATAAAATAGTAATATTCATCTTACATACAATATGTATGCAAAAACAAATTATATAATCATTTCATTTAATTATTTTTTTTTGTTTATCACAATGATTTCTAGTATCATTTAAATAATTTTACGTAGATACTCAATTCGTAGTCAAAACAATCTTTCATTTTCAGTATTGCCTTTGTTTATAAAAATTGAAAATTAACTGCATCTATGAGATCAAGAAATAGATATGATAGGAAAATGAATATAAACGAGTAAATAAACGTTATCAACTTGACAAGAAATCAATTAACTTATAATCATTAATAAAAGTTATATTAAGACATACAGTAATATGCAAAAATAATTGCCGTTGGACTTCTCAAAGTTCTTCTTACTGGAATTGTGAGATATTGAAACATTTTTATGTTAGTATATGATACAAATACAGTACTTATACTAAAAATTTCGCTCTCTTTCTTTAATTTTATAAGAAACAAAAGTCTAACTTTCTTCGAAGCAGTTAAATAACTTTCAGGTTACACATGGATTTTATTCTATTCTTCATGTTAGAATCTTTTCATTCGTAACCACTTTTTAAATGACTTGATAGAGTGATTCAAGTAGCCTAAGACTCATGTGATCAGATGGTTACATAACTTCGCAATAATCATTAGTTCAGTAATGTGAGATAATTGAATAACCAGCCCACACAAAGGTAACGTTTATAAATAGCTCTAGAACAAACCATTTTAAACAAAGTTTTTGTACACCATTGTATATTAAATTCAACTATATAATTCGATATGAACTTGAATATCAACTATAGTTACGAGGTAAAACGAACTGAAATATGATTTGTTTGACCTGCACAAACAAATCGATATTAAGGATTAGTATAAAAATAAGAACGAAAAAAAATCCAAATATTTACGCAGCATATATATATATATAAAATAAATGAACATAAAGTGAGAGAAAAAGAAAAAGAAATTTTCAAATTATTCAGTAGATGAGCACAAGACACTATTGTTGCTTACATTCTATTATATATAATACAAAAAAATGACTATTTACTATTTTTATTGTTTAATTATTTATTTTTGTTCATTTTCTTTGATTTATACAATTAATGATGATAATACATGGCCATGGAAAAAAACTAACTATTTATCTCGATCAAATTGGTCATCATTATTAAATCCTAATAATAATAATAATCAACATCCAGTATGGTTTATTTTTTATTATTTAAATTATTGTGGATATTGTAAAAAAGCTGAACCTGGATGGGAAGCTGTTGCTCAATATGCAATTAGTAATAATAATTTTCTCAAAAATCTTTCTTTATTTTTATTTCAATTTAGATTGGTCAAAATATATTCAAATTGGTGCATATGATTGTGCAAGTGGATCTTTATCAATCAAAGATATTTGTCAAGATGAAAAATATCCTCAATGGCGTATTTATTGTCCATTAACAAATACAACACATTTAGCTTTTTCATCTAAACAACGAACAATTAAAACTAAACCAGAAGATATTTTAATATGGTTGTTAAATAAATTAAATAATATTGCTGATCAATGTTACGGTCAACAATGGCCAATTAAAAATTTAATTGAGTAATTAATAAAACAAAAGAAAATAGTTTTATTTCGAATTTTTCTAGGCCAAAAACAAAAGATGATTTAGATAAAATTATTCCAAAATCTGTCAATAAATTTCAATTATTCATTTCCGATGATATTCTTCTTTATACTCTTGTAAGCCATTAATATTTTATGCATCGATAAAATAAATACTTTTCTTTAGTTTGTATTGAATAATTCGAAAACTATTCAAACCGAACCAATTTATCGTTTAGCAAAACAAAATCAAATTACAAAAGATATTAGTATTATCAAAGGAATACGCGAAAACACTGGTCAAATAACTCTTCAACAGTTTGTTTATTATTATTATAGATTACTTGACTTTTACATTTTATATATTTTTAGAATCGATTCTGCACAAATTATGAAACCTTTTGTACTTGATAAAAATATAATTTCTCATTTTGAAACAATCAATAGGTAATTTATTTCATAATAATTTAAAGTTTTATATTTGTTTTTAAAGAAAAAATATAGCTACATTGAAACCGACATTATCTGATATTGATAGTGCAACTGTTTGGATGATAAATAGAGATCTTCGTCGAGGTTTACCTGATTTAACTGAAAATGTTAAAAGTTGGATTAAGACTCTTTATACAGTAATAATATATTATTTAGAAAAAGCAAAAAAAAAATCGTTGAATTTTATAGTATTATCCAGGAAGTAAAACAATGAAAAGCTTTCTATTTAATTTGAATGAATTTGTTAAAAATTATACGACATTATCACCAAATGAATATCAAACTTATATTAATTCAACATCAGTAATGAATTTAAAATAATCAAAAAAAATAAAATAAATTTAATCTTTTTCTAGATTATTAAATTACCTCAATTAAAATTTGATCATTGTAATGGATCAGATTCTAGTAAACGTGGTTATCCATGTACATTATGGGTTTTATTTCATAGTATGACTGTTAAACAAGCTATACTAGCTGAACAAAATGCATGTAAGTTCTATCGATAGAGTAATTATATAACTTTAAACTAAAATAATATGATGTGTTGAAATTGTTCAGTTGTTTTTTGTGACCTAGTATTCAAAAAGAGAATATTAAATGAACCGTAATATAACAACAAGACAAGAAACGGTGTGTCTTTACTGCATGTAAACTATTTTAAAAAACTGACTTCAGATTTGTGTTCCTTTTGAACAGAAATGCAAAATATATTCTATTCCTGTTTTAGTACCATCAGATATCAAACCATCTGATGTTATTGTATCAATTCGAGAATTTATTGGTAATTTTTTTCTTTGTGAAGAATGTGTTACACATTTTGTTAATATGACAATTAATGCTGAAAATGAAATAAAGTCTCATCATGAAAGTATTCTTTATCTTTGGCGAAGTAAACTGAAAAAATTATATAGTCTACATTTTCTTTACAAATTTCTTGTTTAGGTCATAATGTTGTGAATAAACGACTTCGATATGAAGAATATACCAATGATCCAAATTGGCCAAAAGTACCATTTCCTACA